CTTGGTTAGGTTCACACCTAGGTATTTTATATTATCTGTGACTATTTTGAAGGGTGTCATTTCCATAATTTCTTTCTCAGCCAGTTTATCTTTTGAGTAGAGGAAGGCTACTGATTTGCTTGAGTTAATTTTATATCCAGCCACTTTGCTAAAGTTGTTTATCAGGTTTAGGAGTTCTCTGGTGGAAGTTTTGGGGTCACTTAAGTACACTATCATATCATCTGCAAATAGTGAGATTTTGACTTCTTCCTTTCCAATTTGTATCCCTTTGACCTCCTTGTGTTGCCTAATTGCTCTGGCTAGGACTTCCAATACTATATTAAATAAGTAGGGGGAGAGTGGGCAGCCTTGCCTAGTCCCTGATCTTAGTGAGATTGCTTCAAGTTTCTCTCCATTTAGTTTAATGCTGGCTACTGGTTTGCTGTATATTGCTTTTACTATGTTTAGGTATGGACCTTGAATTCCTGACCTTTCCAAGACTTTTATCATGAAGGGGTGTTGAATTTTGTCAAATGCTTTCTCAGCATCTAGTGAGATGATCATGTGGTTTTTTTCTTTGAGTTTGTTTATATAATGGATTACATTGATGGATTTCCGAATATTGAACCAACCCTGCATTCCTGGGATGAAGCCAACTTGATCATGATGGATAATTGTTTTGATGTGTTCTTGGATTCGGTTCGCTAGAATTTTATTGAGTAATTTTGAATCAATGTTCATAAGAGAGATCGGCCTGAAGTTCTCTTTCTTTGTTGGGTCTTTGTGTGGCTTAGGTATGAGTGTAATTGTGGCTTCAAAGAATGAGTTGGGTAATGTACCTTCTGTTTCTATTTTGTGGAATAGTTTAAAAAGAATTGGAATTAGGTCTTCCTTGAAGGTCTGATAGAATTCTGCACTAAAACCGTCTGGTCCCGGGCTTTTCTTTGTAGGGAGACTTTTAATGGCTGCTTCTATTTCTTTTGGGGTTATGGGATTGTTTAGATGGTTTATCTGGTCCTGATTTAACATTGGTAACTGGTATTTGTCTAGGAAATTGTCCATTTCATCCAAATTTTCCAATTTTGTTGAATATAGGCTTTTGTAGTAGGATCTGATGATTTTTTTAATTTCCTCAGTTTCTGTTGTTATGTCACCCTTTTCATTTCTGATTTTATTAATTTGGATACTGTCTCTCTGCCCTCTGATTAGTCTAGCTAAGGGTTTATCTATCTTGTTGATTTTCTCAAAGAACCAGCTCCTAGTTTTATTGATTCTTTGGATAGTTCTTTTTGTTTCTATTTGGTTGATTTCAGCCCTGAGTTTGATTATTTCCTGCCGTCTACTCCTCTTGGGTGTATTAGCTTCTTTTTGTTCTAGGTCTTTCAGGTGCTCTGTCACGCTGTTAGTGTATGCTCCCTCCAGTTTCTTTTTGTAGGCACTTAGAGCTATGAATTTTCCTCTTAGCACTGCTTTCATTGTATCCCATAGATTTTGGTATGATGTGTCATCATTTTCATTAAATTCTAAAAAGTTTTTAATTTCCTTCCTTATTTCTTCCCTTACCTGATTATCAAGGAGTAGGGTGTTGTTCAATTTCCATATGAATGTGGGCTTTCCATTCTCTTTGTCATTTTTGAAGACCAGCCTTAGACCATGGTGATCTGACAGGATGCAGGGAATTATTTCAATTTTCTTATATCTGTTGAGGCCTGTCTTGTGCCCAATTATATGGTCTATTTTGGAGAAGGTACCATGAGGTGCTGAGAAAAAGGTATATTCTTTTGCTTTAGGGTGAAATGTTCTATAGATATCTGTTAAGTCCATTTGGTTCATAACTTCTGTGAGTTTTACTGTATCTCTATTTAGTTTCTGTTTCCATGATTTATCCATTGCTGAGAGTGGGGTGTTGAAGTCTCCCACTATTATTATGTGAGGTGCAATGTGTGTTTTGAGCTTTAGTAAGGTTTCTTTTATGTAAGTCGACGCTCTTGTATTTGGCGCATAGATATTCAGAATTGAGAGTTCATGTTGGTTGACTTTTCCTTTGACAAGTATGAAATGCCCTTCCTTATCCTTTTTGATAGTTTTAAGTTGAAAGTCGATTTTATTCGATATTAGGATGGCTACTCCCGCTTGTTTCTTAGGACCATTTGCTTGAAAAATTGTTTTCCAACCTTTTACTCTAAGGTAGTGTCTGTCTTTGTCACTGAGGTGGGTTTCCTGTAAGCAGCAAAAAGCTGGGTCCTGTTTGCGTATCCAGTCCGTTAGCCTATGCCTTTTTATTGGGGAATTGAGTCCATTGATGTTAAGAGATATTAAGGAGAGGGTGTTGTTGCTTCCTGTCATTTTTGCTAATAATGGAGACATCGTTTGTGTGGTTATCTTCTTTTGGGTTTGATGGAAAAGGATTATTTTCTTGCTCTTTCTAGGGTATGATTGCCCTCCTTGTATTGGATCTTTCCTGCTATTATCCTTTGTAGAGCTGGATTTGTGGGAAGATACTGTGCAAATTCAGTTTTGTCATGGAATATCTTAGTTTCTCCATCTATGGTAATTGAGAGTTTTGCTGGGTAAAGTAGCTTGGGCTGGCATTTATGTTCTCTTAGGGTTTGTATGATATTTGTCCAGGATCTTCTGGCTTTTATAGTATCTGGTGAGAAGTCAGGTGTAATTCTGATAGGTTTGCCTTTATATGTTATTTGGCCTTTTTCCCTAACTGCTTTTAAAATTCTTTCTTTGTTTTGTACATTTTGTGTCTTGATTATTATGTGACGGGAGGTGTTTCTTTTTTGATCTAGTCTGTTTGGCGTTCTGTAGGCTTCTTGTGTGATTATGGGCATCTCATTCCTTAGGTTAGGGAAGTTTTCCTCAATAATTTTGTTGAAGATATTTACTGGCCCTTTAAGTTGGGAATCTTCACTCTCATCTATACCTATTATCCTTAGGTTTGGTCTTCTCATTGTGTCCTGGATTTCCTGGATATTTTGAGATAACAACTTTTTGCATTTTGCATTTTCTTTGATAGTTGTGTCGATATTTTCTAAGGTATCTTCTGCACCTGAGATTCTTTCTTCTATTTCTTGTATTCTGTTGGTGATGCTTGTGTCTATGACTCCTGATTTCTTTCTTAAGTTTTCTATCTCCAGGATAGTCTCCCTTTGTGCTTTCTTTATTGTTTCCACTTCCATTTTTATGTCCTGGATGGTTTTGTTCAATTCCTTCATCTGTTTGTTTGTGTTTTCTTGTAATTCTTTAAAGGATTTTTGTGTTTCTTTAAGGACTTCATCCTGTTTTCCTGTGTTCTCCTCAAGTTTTTGGATAGTGTTATTTACTTCTTTCTTGAAGTCCTCTAGCATCATCATTAGAAGTGATTTTAGATCTGGTTCTTGTTTTCCTGGTGATATGGGGAGTTCAGGACTTTCTAATGTGGGAGAACTAGGTTCTGATACTGGCAAGTACCTTGGGTTGCTGGTGCTTGTGTTCTTGCGCTTGCCTTTCGCCATCTGGATCGCCTTTGTGCTATCAGTGCTGTCTCTGACAGGGGCCTGTCTTTCCTATTATCTAGGTTGTGTCAGAACTGTTTGGGATGAGTTTTGCTGCTTGAGTTAGAGCTGAGGCCCAAGATGTGCTCAGTGTTCAGGTGGAAACCGGAAGGGGCCTGGGCTCCGGGTCAGGAGAGGATTCCTGGGTCTCAGTGAGTCCCAGTGGGTCCCAGTGGGTCCCAGTTGCTCCCTGATTGGAGGCAAGAACTGCCACCTCCTAGCCTAAGAAATTGCTTGGCACAGAGGTCCTGTGAGCCCCGCTTCCTCTTGATTCTGCGAGATTGGGTGCAGAGCTGCCTCCCGGGATCTGTGAGTGCTCGGGCCCAGACCGGATGGAGCCCGCCCCAGGCCAGGAGCGAATTCCTGGGTCCCAGTGGGTCCTAGCTGCTCCCTGTTTGGGGGCAAGCACTGCCACCTCCTAGCCCAAGACCTTGCTTGGTACAGAGGTCCTGCGAGCCCCGCTTCCTCTGGAATCTGCGAGATTGGGTGCAGAGCTGCCTCCCGGGATCTGTGAGTGCTCGGGCCCAGACCGGATGGAGCCTGCCCCGGGCCAGGAGCGAATTCCTGGGTCCCAGTGGGTCCTAGCTGCTCCCTGTTTGGGAGCAAGCACTGCCACCTCCTAGCCCAAGACCCTGCTTGGTACAGAGGTCCTGCGAGCCCCGCTTCCTCTGGAATCTGCGAGATTGGGAGCAGAGCTGCCTCCCGGGATCTGTGAGTGCTCGGGCCCAAACCGGATGGAGCCCGCCCCGGGCCAGGAGCGAATTCCTGGGTCCCAGTGGGTCCCGGTTGCTCCTTGTTTGGGGAGAGTGTTGCTTTTACCTTACCTGGGATGCTGCGTGAGTTCAAGCTCCTGGGAGTCCCTGTTTCTCTCGGTTTTCTGGGGTTGAGTACGGAGCTGCCGCCTGCGACCTACTCTATGCTCGGGCCCCACAGCTTGGGTTTTTATATTTTATTTTTCCTGTGCTCTCACAGAGTTTGAGAGTTAGAGAAAGTTTTACATTCAGCATGAGTGTGTCTAGCTAAAATGCAGAAAAAAAAGTACACCAAGAACCAAAATCTTTACATGTTCATCCTGTAAACTGCAGTTTTAGATGTAGAAGACATTTATTGCTTTATTCTAGCAGTCTGAGCAGGGGCCAGGTGTCTGCGGGTGAATTGTCACAGCAGCATCCATTGTTTGGCCTCTCTCACTTTTTTTTTTGTTTTGTTTTTTGTTTTTTGTTTTTCGAGACAGGGTTTCTCTGTGTAGCCCTGGCTGTCCTGGAACTCACTCTGTAGACCAGGCTGGCCTCAAACTCAGAAATCCACCTGCCTCTGCCTCCCAAGTGCTGGGATTAAAGGCGTGCACCACCACTGCCCGGCTCTCTCTCACTTTTTGTAGGATTCACTGCCTTCAAATAACAATAGCATCTTGTGGAGATTGTTGACCCACCCTATTGTGTTCTGCACAGTCCTGAGAAAGGACAGCTATAGTCATACTTTCAGTTTCAAATGAGTGAGTTTATTAAGTATATAACAAGCTAAAGTAAAAGAATAAATTGGAAAAAATAAAAACAACAAAACACCATTTTAATCATTTGTTTCAAATTTCCAGGGGGAATGGACTGGAATCCAGGGGAAGTCCTGCAGAAGCAGTCAGCTGGAGTTTCCAATAGAGTTCAGGACAGAGAAGAGTTAACCTCTGGTGGGGCTTCCAGATAAAAGAATTTATAGCAACAGAGAGAAAGAACACACCATCAAACTGGATGTTCAAAACAGGCAGCAGGAACTGTTTGTGGAAACTGAACAGTCAGCCACAGTTTCCAATGCAGCTTTCTCTTCATGGCTGAGCAAACATGGCTGAATTTCTGGCTTTTCTCTTCCATTTTACATCTCAGGATAAACAATTGTAATCTCTGTTAGAAATGGTCACCTTCTAGCTGTTTTCAAGGACACAGTATTCTTGTTCTTTAACTGATTTCACTGGTTCCTCCTCCCTTTCACAGAGTTAGAGGGGCAAGGCCACCCCTGAACAAGACACTTCAGAGGGCATTTTATGTGACTTGGGTTTGAAATGGGTGAGAGAGCAATCCTGCTTCCAGAGTCATCTTCTCAGTGGGCTCCCTCAGCCCCTGACAGTTCACCATTGTGATGTCCTAAGTTTTCTTTAGAAAGATGATCAAACAGGGAAGGTGATATAGGAAGTTAGGGACGGACGGGAGTGTGGCAGGCTGTCTATGCAGAAAGGTAGGCTCTCTGAGCATCATGCTGTTGGCTGCTGGAGGGACGGGTAGTGGAAGGATCAGAAAAGGCTAGGTTAACAAAACAGTGTGCTCACACGGTTGATGTTGTTCGCTTGTATCCTCGATTGAAAAAATCCTCTTGAAAGTCTTCTCAAATTTGTTTCCTACACTGATGCCAAGATTTTTGAACTTGTTCTGAAAAAGAGGTAGGAAATCGGCGATAGCCATCGATTAATGTGCTTAGCCAGCCTGCCTTCTGGATAACTCAGAACCTCAGTTAGGCTATCCCAAACGGTGAGGTTAAACCCAGGTAAGAGGAGGTAATAGGGCTTTTGAGATGGCTCAATGGGTAAAGGCACCTGCCTCCAACCAGACCTGAGTTCAATCCCTGGGACCCCCACATGGTAGAAATATTCCAATAAGTTGTCCCCTGACCCCAAACATGCACCTGCACCACCATGGCATGCACACTCTCCCTACAAAGTAAGTAAATATAAGTGCAACTATTTTTTTTAAAGAAAGAGGTTATATTCCCTGATGATCTGAAAATGTCTCTTTCTTGTGAAGACAGAAGAAAAACTAGTATGCAGGCTAAATATCCCTTACTCTAAAGACCTGAGATGGGCAGAGGTTTGGGTTTCAGATTTGGGAATATTTGCATACACATAATGAGAGCCCACAGGAATGGGACCCAAGTTGAAATCCAAAATTCATTTGATTTATATAAATACTTCATAGATAGCCTAAATGTGATTTTATACAATATATTGTAGCAGGATACTTATTCTGCTACATTGTATTCACAGTGGAGCTAGGTGATTAGGCAGTAGAAGAGGAGGTGGAGCTTGGAGAGAAAGAGAGGAAGGGGAGGAGAAGAAGAAGGCTATCAGCCATGGAGAACCACGGATGGGTTGAAAGCTGTCCTAGGTAGCAACTTCTATCAAAAGGTTAGATATTGGGTAACAATTCTAATTGTGTGGGCATCTTGTTGATTGAACATTTCTAAATATATAAATCCTTTAGATAATCATTAAGCTTTAAGAGTCTCATTTCTACCGGGTACTGCAAGGATGGCAGATATTGTATGGAGTTCAGCCGAGCTGTGTGGATGCAGCATGGTGGATTGGCAGAGCCATCACCACACTGGTGTCTTGTGGGTGCCAGTGTCTGTGCATCTAGCTAGCCGGAGCCCTGGTCAGAGCCGAGGAGGTGCAGGAAAGTGGTGGCTGCCTGGGAACAAGCTGGGCTGGGTGCCATTTTCTAAATATCACCCTTACAATATATTTGCTTTGCACAAAATGAAGTTTTCATAGTATGAAAATTTCCACTTCTACCATGTTGGTGGTGGGTGAGACAGGCAGCATGCAAATGCTGAGGGAACTAACGAACTCTTCTTTTTCCCTATACTTGTAAGTTTTGGGGAATTTATTAGGATAGATCAGGAGTTGTGGAATTTGGAGAGGAGACAGATCCTTAAATCTGCAATTTAAAACTTTTAAATGCTAGCATGGTGATGGTGGCACATCCTTTTGCCCTAGCCTAGGGAAGCAGAGGCAGGTGGATCTCTGTGAGTTCAAGACTGTCCTGGTCTACATAGCAAAGTCCCTTCCAAACGTATCTTTTCGGCAAGCTACTCGTCACTGCTTAGTTAAAATAAACTAAAAGACTGTATTAGGTTCTTAAACTAGCCACAAAACCACAGAGTAAATTGACAGAATATATGTCACTTACTCATTTTAGGCCCAACGGTAACAAAGGTCAGGAGGTGAACTCAGTGACAATGAGTTCAGTTAGCTGTGTCTCATCTCACACACCCATCTCGAATTTGGAGCACAAAAAACAGCCTTTAACTAGCTACAAAATTAAAAGTAATTGGGTGAAATGAATTATTCTTCCTTTGTTGGTCAGAGATGATGGAGTATCGTTTCTACACTCAAGACTCATGTCACTCCAGTCAAAAGAAAGCTTTCATGCCCATTTCATGCCTCAGAAAGACTTATGGTGACAATTTCTCTGTGCCACCTACCCCACCTCTCAGTTGCCTGCCTTGACCTTTGTCTGGTGTTCTAGCCTCGGATGTACTTTCATTTCACTAAAGCTAGCTTAGATTTCCTTTTGGTCTTCCCTCAGAGCTTTGAGAAGATTTTTTTTTTGGGGGGTTTGGTTTTTAGAGACAGGGTTTCTCTGTGTAGCCCCTGGCTGTCCTGGAACTCACTCTGTAGACCAGGCTAGCCTCGATCTCTCAAACTCAGAAATCCGCCTGCCTCTGCCTCCCAAGTGCTGGGATTAAAGGCGTGTGCCACCACCGCCTGGCTGAGAAGATGTTTTAAGGACATGTACCTAACATTAAGTTACCTCGGCCAATGACTGGGAGAATTTTCTTATTCTATGAAAAATTTAAAAGATTTATCATCATCATCATCATCATCATCATCAGTAGTATTAGTATTGTTATACACCAGAGGGACTGAACATCACCCATCCTTCACCAGAGAATCTTCTTGCAGTATGTGGGGATTAAGACAGAGACCCACGACTGGACAATGTCCAGAGGGTGAGGGACTTTGGACTACTCAGCTCTAAATAGGATGTCTTCATCAAATACCTCCCCTCAAAGCTCAGAGATCTAAGTGGAAGAGGAGGCAGAAAAATTGGAAGAGCCAGAGGTGGAGCATGATGCCAAGGACTGCACCTTCTGGACACAAGAGAGTTCGTACTCATATGAACTCTCAGAGACCGTGACGGTATGTTCAAGACCTGCAGAGGTTCAAACCAGACAAAACTCCAGCACCAAGAAGCAGGTCCTGCCTCTAACGAGAAATTGGGACCTGCTGGGAGAGGGACAATCAATTCTCTCCAATGGAGTGTCACTGGGCGTATCAACCACGCTCCAGAGCAGACTCTATGCCCAAGAGTAGTTGGCCAACATAAAACAGACTTCACGGTGTGTGTGTGTGTGTGTGTGTGTGTGTGTGCACTCGTGCACAGTTTTTGTGTTGTTCTGCTATCTTTGTCTTGTTCGTTTGGTTGGTTAGTTTTTAATTTATTTTGATTTTCATTTTTTGTTTATTTTGCTGTTGTTTTTTTTTTTTGGGACGGAGGCAATGTGAAGTTGAGTGTGTAGGGAGGATCTGGGACGAGCTGGGGGAAGGGGAAAGAATATGATGAAAACATTGTAAGACAAATTTATAAAACAAAAAGTTAATTAATTAAAGTGTATGTTTATTACTGTTGTTATTGTTAATGCTTGTTTGTTTGAGACAGGGTCCTGACTTGTGTAAAACTTGCTTTGTAGAGCAGGTTGGCCTTGAATGTACAGAGATCTACCTGCCTCTGCCTTTGGCATTTTTATTATATTTAAGTATAGGTACTTATATATGGGCATGTACGTGAGAGTGCAGGTACTTGAGGAGTTAAGAATAGGGTGTTGAATTCCCTGGAGTTGGTGTGACAGGTGAGCCACATGCTTCAAGTATTGGGAACTCCTGTCCTTTCCAAGAGCAGTAAGGGCTCTTAACTGCTGAGCCATCTCGTCAGCCCTGTGGCAAAAGATTTTTGCCACAGCACTAGGGATTCAGTAATGTGAGGTTTTGCAATTTGAGAAATCTGATTTTTCTCCCTTCGTAGATGGGAAATTCTGGCTGTCTTTAAAATACACCGCTGTTCCCCTGCAATGATGAGCAAGCAGCCCTGTAGCCTGCCACTCACTCTCCACGGCTGCCGCTCTCCGCTTGACAAATCATCTGTCTGCAAGTGGAGCCCTTCGGAGGTCCTCTGCGAGTCAATGTCGCTTTCCCTACCTGCATCATGGGGCTTCTAGAATCCTCCCTCAAATTCGACTTGTGCAGGCTTGCCTCTTGACAAGGGCAATTATAGCATCTACCTGACTAGAGAAAGAGACTCAACTCAAAGCCAAAAGGGAGCAAAGCTGAGGCGCTTACTTTATAAAATATGCTGTGGTTCTGAAAGATGAGGCGCATGTCCCCCACAAAGCGTTGTACCGAATGGTATGCCTTCTTATTCAGCCTATTCTTGATTTTGTTTAACCACATGTGCTCCTGGAGGTCTGGAAAGTCCTTTTTCCTCTGTTGAGGAAAGCAGAGAAGGCAGGGTTGTCAGTATAGTCCTGAGTCAGCCTTCCACACACTCTCATGGTTATGGACTCTGTCTGAATGTTTGCATGACCGATCCAATCCTAACCCCTGGTGTACTAACTGAGAAAGCCTTTGCAAGGTCATGAGGTTATGGAGGTGCAGCCCCCCTGTGAGTGGGATTAGTGCCCTCAGTGAGACTCCATGGTGTCCTCTCCCTCTCTTTTCACCATCTGAGAGAGCAGTCAGAAGTGAACCATTTGCATCCCAGAAGACTTTTAGCCAGGCATGCTGGTGCACACCTATAATTCCAGCACTTGGGAAGAAGGCATCTGAATTTCTGGGAGTCTGAAGCCAGCCTGGTTACATAGTTCCAGGTCAGCCAAAGCTATACAGTGAGAGTCTGTCTCAAAAACAAAACAAAACAAAACAAAACAAAACAAAACAAAACAAGATAACAACCAAACAATCGAGAAGTAGAAGACACTAACCAGAACCCAGTCATATTGACGCCTCAGACCTCCAGTCTCCAGAACCATAAGAAACAAATTGTATACTATATACAAATAGTACCATATATATTGCCCCCAGACTATGGTAATTTGCTATGTATGTCAACCTATACAAAGAGACCCATCCACAAGGCAAAGAGAAAGTCCACTTGTGTGGTGAAAAGATCACAAGGTTGCAGTTGTGTTGTTTTACTCACTCGCTCTTGTTTTCGGATAAAAAAGCCACTTTTTGGACAGCAATACATAATCAAGAGAAGCAGCTCACATTTCTGCAGAAGGTGAAAGGTGACTCTAAGTGGAAGGTAACTTAGAGAGAAAAGGCATGTTTAAATTCCAAGACGCAAGGAACGACTCCCTCCTTTGATCTCTTTGAGACAAATATGAAATGCAGCTACTCCCTGGAGTACAAAGTCCAGTGTTGGGTCACATGATCAAAACATATCAAAAAAGGTAGTGACGTATAAAAAAAGCGTATAAAGGAGTTTTGTTCCTTACCGTCTGTGAGACCATGTTCCTCTGCCAACCCAAAAGGGGACCTTCAACTTCGCATTGACTCACCAGCTGTTCCTCGGGTGACATCTTCCTCTTCAAGACCTCAGCTTCCTTAAGACATGCTTCATTTTTTTGGCCCCTTAACTGATTCTTTGTCTTGCAGAAGGTACAATGCCATAGGCTACTGAGAGGTCAGGTATAAAGTGAGCAAGAGTAGACAATTCTGTGAACCAGCGCCACCCCCCCATGGCTGATAAAGACCTCTGTTCAACGACAAGTGGTTTCTACTTTGTGTTCAACTTTGCTCTTGGGGGAACCCTATACTGGAGCTCCATGTAGGCTCAAAATGCAAGGATAAACCCTTTCATTAAAAGTCAGTATTGTGAAAGAGGTGGTTACCCAAGGAAGTGATGGATTTCCATTGACCTCAAAACTTGATCTTTCCATCCAAGAACATTGGGAGTTTGACAACAAGCCATGTTTGGTCCTAACAATGAATTTGGTGCCTTGAACAATGAGTCTTGAACCTTGACGGGCCAATCAAACTATAGAGGTACAGTCAGGAACCAAGAAAGCAGATCGTGCTTCTCAGCCTTGCTGAGTGAGCAGAGAATAGGCTATAGGCATCTTTTCAGCTGGGACTGTAAGGTCTATGGCCAGAAACTGTGTTATGGAAACAGTGGAAAGGAGATTTTCTCATAGTGTCAAATGTTTTCTGCTTTATCCTACATGCTGGCTAATTTTATGTCAACTTGAGTCATTTTGGAAGAGGAAACCTCAATTGAGGAGAATGCCTTAACTAGATTGGCCTGTGGGAGAGCCTATGGTGCATTTTCTTGGTTGATGATTGATATGGACGATCCAGTTCACTGTGGACTGTGACACCCCTGAGCAAGTGGTCTTGGGTAATATAAGAAAACTACCAGCTGAACAAGCCATGAGGAGCAAGCCAGTAAGCAGCACTCTTCCATGGCCTCTGAATCAGCTTCTGACTCCAGGTTCCCACCTTGACTTTGCTGGACGGTGGATTACAAACTGTTAGATGAAATAGTCTTTCCTTCCCAAGTTTATTTGGTGTGGTGTTTTATCACAATGATAAAAACCTTGACCAAGTTCAACTCGTTCATTTCAATGATCCATCTTAACAAAACTGGCCTCCCTTTGTCTATCCAGTATTTTATCAAGGTGCCCATTACAAAATGCCCCTGGTGGGGTGTTGGAAGCTGCATATGGGCAGAGTAAAAAAGCTGATTTGTTTTGTGCCTAGGTAGCTTGTCTAACTAGTCAGAAGAAGATGTTTCCAATAATTCTCTGAGATGGTGCTTTGGGAGCTGGTGGGTAGTCTTATGACTCCAGAGGGCAATGCTGCTGTTTGAGGACTTCCAGTAGAGACCAGTTCCAGTAGAGAACAGTAGTTCTGTCCACACCATCCACAGAACCCATCAAATCCCTTGTCCACCTCTTGGAATCTCACATACCATCTCTGTCCAGAGACACATCTATAGCAAAGAAGTGCTTTGGTTGGGGTGGGGTGCTAATGCTCAGAATTCAGTTCTTATGATGTGCTCTGGAATCCAGCATTAGCTAGCTTGATAGAATGCTAGGGTGTGCTGGGCGGTGGTGGCGTACGCCTTTAATCCCAGCACTTGGGAGGTAGAGGCAGGTGGATTTCTGAGTTCGAGGCCAGCCTGGTCTACAGAGTGAGTTCCAGGACAGCCAGGGCTATACAGAGAAACTCTGTCTCAAAAACAAACAAACAAACAAAAAAAGAATGCTAGGGTGCACTTCTGAAGGCTTGATATGACCCAGCTTTGTTAACTTTGGAATTCCACAGTGGGGAAGGAGACTATATGGTTCAGACCAACAAATGGTGTCATCACCCCAATGGAGAATATCAGAAAGATGGAGTAATACTTCTTACAGGTAACCACTTGCAAGGCCTTTGTTTCCATCTGTCTTCTGCTATGAGTGTTGAGAAACAGCACTGGACACTTCTGGATCTTGAGACTAAGGGTCTTGTTCCCATTGTATCAAGATATATCCAATGGGAGACAGCAACTCTCTGTCTCTCTGTCTCTTTGTCTCTGTTTCTCTCTCTCTCTGTCTCTCTGTCTCTCTCTCTCTCTCTCTCTCTCTCTGTGTGTGTGTGTGTGTGTGTGTGTGTGTGTGTGTGTGTGTAGGGGTGAAGTGTGCTCTGAGGAGGAAGGGCTGGAGACAGGGCTGTCTTACTAACCTCTTATTTTCCACAGGTGGGATGTGACAATTCTTATGATAGAATTCTTTACAAGTAGCACAACGGTACACTTTGTTTTGTTGGCGGCATACTTTACATACTTTTGGATTTTCCAGCTACAAGAAGAAATGTTGTAGATAACTTCAAGATCAATGTGACCCCAGAATTCTAGAACAAATAACCTTTGCCTATACCAAGGTGGTTTAGAAATCTCCCCATTTCAAAGTATGTTTCAAGTATTTATTTGTGTGTGCCTCTGTGTTAATATACATTATATAACTTACACACACATATATATATTCACAAACACTATATATATATATATATATATATATATATATATATATATATATATATACATATATATATATATATCTCAGAAAGATGGAGTGATGCTTCTTACAGGTAACCACTTGCAAGGCCTTTGTTTCCATCAGTCTTCTGCTATGAGTGTTGAGAAACAGCACATATATATCACATATGTACAGGTTGGATTTTGGATTGCAGGAGATTGTGAGCTGCCATGTCAGTGCTGAGAATTGAACCTGGGTCCTCTGGAAGAGCAACCAATGCTCTAAACTACTGATCTATCTCTCCAGCCCATCTCCTCAAAATACCAAGAAATATTATTGAACAAGATTTTAGAAGAAGACAATTCTGGCATGAAATAAAGTTCATGGAATTGTTGGGCTATGTCAGACTAGAAAAATTTATATTGTGAGGAGAGCAAGTTCTGATGGTGAAATAACAGAAATACTGTTGTAATAACAACAGTAGCAAGAAAGCTGAATTAAAGATAGCCTGATAAATTTATTATTCAGGAAAGCCTGACTCCAAAATATAATGTATCTGGCTTAATTCATTAGCTAATTAAATTCATCATTATCATTTTTTTTTTTGAGAAAGGGGCTCATGTAGCCAGAGTTACCTTGGGTTCTGATTCCCCTAGCTCAGCTTCCAAGGTCACATTTCTAATGTTCAAGGCATGTGGCCAGGGAGACCACCCAGGGCTGAAGATCTGCCTCTGCTATTAGAACATGGAGATTCCTTGGGTTCTGTCCTGCATCCTTGACTCGTTTCATTTGGTCCAATGTTCATAACTCTTCCCATGACCAACCCTCCCTAGACTTTCAGATCTATATCGGCCTTGGTTTGGCCTGCAACATTCACACCCTCCTTTTCTAGGGATTCTGTACTGCTCTGCAACACTGACTCTGTTCCTCTTTTATAACGGTCCTCTAGCCTCTAACAGTCTATCATGCGAAGCCTGGTTGTGAACGCTGGCTACACCCACCCCATGTCTCAGACACCCAGCCCTCCACCACTCATGCATACCGCAATTTCTAAGTCTCACCTCACTCTTATGCTTGTGTGGGGCCTGCTGCTGTCAGGGTGCAGAATCCCTTATCCTTGGCTGGAATCTCTGCTAACCCCTGCACAAGCTGACCTCTTTCCCCCAATTCTACCCGGACTAGGAAGCCTCCGAACAACTGAAAGGAGCCAAGAGTACAGTTCTTGGCAGCTGCCGTAACCTCCTCCTCTGATGCTGCCAGCCACTCTAATCCCTGCCTAAGTGCTCATCTCGTGACCATACTTAGGCACAAACCCAGCTTATAGCCGACACATCATCATCACCCCTCACCTAAAGATCTATACCCGCTCCCCATTGCTGTATTCTGAGCACGTGACTTCATCAGCCCTGTTTATTGGTACTGATGAGCCTGCCTGGGAGCAGTATCTATCTAATAAGTAAACCTGCATTTATCTGCTTTTAATGTGGTCTGATCTGGCCTATATATCTGTGTCACTGAGAGAGAGAGAGAGAGAGAGAGAGAGAGAGAGAGAGAGAGAGAGAGAGAGAGAGAGAGACTGAGACTATTATCTTGGTGGGAAAACCCCAGATGGGGTCGAAGAAAAAACATCTAACAATTCATAAGTGAAGTGAAAAAATCATAATTTGTATTTTCTTCATCCAGAGATTTACTATGACACAAGAACTGCACACGAAGTGCAAATCCTAGGCTGTGAAAACGAATCTGGTCTTTCAATGGGAATCTTGAATGGCCCGTGAGGGTCACATTTGGGGGCACATATCTCCATCTATCTTGGAATAACGGCAGGTGCTGTGACTATGTTTGCTGAACACAATTTTCAGTTCGTTTGGTCAAAGTTCATCCTATTAAAAGCACTGCCAGTCCCGAGAAAGAGCAGTGCACAGCCACATCTACATGGAGTTCCACTGTCTGGAGTCCTTTGGAAGCCTGAGGTTTGCCTTTTTAACGTGGGTAAGGAGTCCAGTCCTTGGTAATCATTGTACCACTGAGGTACATCTTCATGCACCTCCTTTTAATGGCTATCCCTCCGTGGTGCTGGGGTTTGAATCCAGGGCACCTGATGTGTGCTAGACAAGTACTCTACCACTAGGCAAACACCTTACCACTAAGCTATGCTCTTGTCTCTTTAGTTTTTTATTTTAACTTTATGTGTACAGATGTTTTGCTTGCATGTATGTCTGTATACCACCTGTGAGCCTGCAGTCATCAGAAGACAGAAGAAATTGGATCCCTGGGATTAGAATTATAGATGGTTGTGAGCCACTGTGTGGGTGCTAGGTTTTGAACCCAAGTCCTTGGAAGGGCAGCAAGTGCTCTTAACCACTGAATAATTTTCCCATCCCTGCCCCACCTTTTAAACAAGAAACTTGTTCTTTTATTTAGTACCAGTCTTCAACATGTTATAGACTAAAATCACTCATGGAATGAGAAATAAATTCAAGGCTTGAGAGTGTAGTTCCATGACAGAATGTTCAACCTAGCATGAATGAGGCCCTAGGTTTGATCCTTAACACTGAGGGAGAAAAACATGTATCTTGGATCCCATCAGCAGCAATTTCACTGAACTGAATGCTTGAATAGTCTCAGGGGTTCTAATGCACAGTCATCAGGTGAGATCTCTGCATCTGAGGCTGTGGTCTATGGACCAGCAGACTCAGCATCTGCTTTAGCCATCCAGTGAGTTATCCAGAGACTGGAGACTCCTGCCCCCAGCAGAGAAACAAGAAAAGCGCGGCTGTATCTAAGTAAGAGATCAGAAGAGGGAGAGGGGGGCCCTGCGACTGGAGTTAAAGATGGTTGTGAGCTACCAAGTATGTAAGCAGAGAACAAACCTGTGTCTTCTGAAAGAGCAGCTAGTGCTCTTAACCACTGAGCCATCTTTCCATGCCCCAGATTTTTAAAAATCACATTTTATGCATATGTGTGGTTATTCCTGTGACCCTCAGGTGGAGAGCAAAGGATACACTTTGGGAGCTGGTTTTCTCTTCCTATCATCCGGGTCCTGGGGATTGAACTCAGGTCATCAGCTTTGGCAGTGAATACCTTTATTTTTCGAGCCAATTATCAGTCCATTCTTGTACAATTTTTAAAGGTTGTCCACACCTCAGTCTTAGATGTTTTGATGTTAAACAGAGTCCTGGTCTCTTACATTATGTAAATTTTTTAAAAAAATATCAACTACAATGATACCAGCTTATAAAACCCATTTTTATCATCATCAGCGAGTTTAACAACTATGATATGACAGAGATGGACACCTAACAGTTTGAAGTTGCTGCCCTCAGACACCGTGGCGGAAGCTCACAGGGCATTTACCTTTCTCTTGGTTTGCCATGGGTTTGTTGGGGTTTCCCTTTGAAAGACAGAAGAGATCACTTGTGGGGTGGCTCCCAAGGTTGGCTCCCATATCTACCTCAAATGTTTTGATGCTCAAAGAAGCAAATCATTGTAAAACAACAACTAGATGAGCACCGTAGGATAAATTCAAATCTGGCCAAATCCAAATCGGTCAATTTTAAAACAGATAGAGTCATGTGGGAATGGAAAACAATTTGTAGACAATAGCCTCAGACATCATGACAGGAGACTGTAGGATTTAACTACCTTTTTTCTTGGTGGGCCTTGTAGTTTTTCTTTCTGAAAG